GTCTCTGTACACAGAGAGCTGTTACCCTTCCCTTTATAGTTATGACAGGTGGCCAGGGTAGATACGGGAGGGAGGGGTTGCGTGGGGGGCACCGAGTGGCAGATGAAGGACAAGAGTTTAATATTTGAAAAAAATAATGTAAAATTAAGCGAAACCGAACAGAACTAAAACTGGAGCATAGGCTCTGAAACAACAAGGCCTGGGCAGGCATCCCCCACAGCTCCAGAGCCCCAAAACCTCTTCTCCTTCCCACTGACCCACCCTGCCCCCTTCCTCCACACTACCCTTCTGACTGTCACGCCATCCATGCACCACGTAGTTCCCCTGTTTACTGGACTGTATCTAGAATTGTACCAGCTGCACAGAGTCCCCTTCAAATGAGGAAAGGGGTGAAAGCTCTATTTATTCATTAGTTTTAATGCATCCAATAAGTATAAATTAAACTAATTTTTATAAATCATATATTTTTCAAAATGGCTGACATAAAATACACACATGTCCAGAAATGACACCAGGGAAGAACATGAAGCAAAAAGCGGGGCATGGAAACCTGCCAAAAATTACAGGCTGAGTAAAGGCCTAGAGTTATTACTACTTGGGTTCTGTAGAGACCCCACAGCTTCTAATAACCAGGGAACAGGAATCCTTACCCAATGAGGCCACAGTGGCATAGTTCTCCTGCATGACCTCCCTGTAGAGAGCTCTCTGAGCAGGGTCTAGCAGAGCCCATTCCCCCTCCGTGAAGTACACAGCCAGCTCCTCGAAGGTCACCGGCCCCTGAAAGAAAAAGAGTCGCCCACTCAGTACCTGCTGCCCAGTGACAACACCAGTATTCACAGGAGAGCAGGGCCAGTAAAATGAATGCTCTGGGAGGGACACGGTAGCAGAGTCCCTCCCTATCCCACTCAGAGCAGCCAAGAGGGTGAGGGGAGTAAGAGAGAGCCCTTTGTCCCTGCCAGCACACACAGGAAGCAAGGGTCTTAGAATCATAGAATATCAGGGTTGGAAGGGACCTCAGGAGGTATCTAGTCCAACCCCCTGCTCAAAGCAGGACCAACCCCAACTAAATCATCCCAGCCAGGGCTTTGTCAAGCCTGAACTTAAAAACCTCTAAGGAAGGAGATTCCACCACCTCCCTAGGTAACCCATTCCAGTGCTTCACCACCCTCCTAGTGAAAAGGTTTTTTCTAATATCCAACCTAAACCTCCCCCACTGCAACTTGAGACCATTACTCCTTGTTCTGTCATCTGCTACCACTGAAAACAGTCTAGATCCATCCTCTTTGGAACCCCCTTTCAGGTAGTTGAAAGCAGCTATCAATCCCCCCTCATTCTCCTCTTCTGCAGACTAAATAATCCCAGTTCCCTCAGCCTCTCCTCATAAATCATGTGCTCCAGCCCCCTAATCATTTTTGTTGCCCTCTGCTGGACTCTTTCCAATTTTTCCACATCCTTCTTATAGTGTGGGGCCCAAAACTGGACACAGTACTCCAGATGAGGCCTCACCAATGCAGAATAGAGGAGAATGATCACGTCCCTCGATCTGCTGGCAATGCTCCTACTTATAAAGCCCAAAATGCTGTTAGCTTTCTTGGCAAGAAGGGCACACTGTTGACTCATATCCAGCTTCCCGTCCACTGTAACCCCTAGGTCCTTTTCTACAGAACTGCTGCCTAGCCACTTGGTCCCTAGTCTGTAGCAATGCATGGGATTCTTCCGTCCTAAGTGCAGGACTCTGCACTTGTCCTCGTTGAACCTCATCAGATTTCTTTTGGCCCAACCCTCTAATTTGTTTAGGTCCCTCTGTATCCTATCCCTACCCTCCAGCATATCTACCATTCCTCCCAGTTTAGTGTCATCTGCAAACTTGCAATCCACGCCATCCTCCAGATCATCAATGAAGATATTGAACAAAACCGGCCCCAGGACTGACCCTTGAGGCACTCTGCCAACTAGACATAGAGCCACTGATCACTACCTGTTGAGCCCAACAATCTAGCCACCTTATAGTCCATTCATCCAGCCCATACTTCTTTAACTTGCTGGCAAGAATTCTGTGGGAGACCGTATCAAAAGCTTTGCTAAAGTCAAGGAATAACACGTCCACTGCTTTCCCCTCATCCACAGAGCCAGTTATCTCGTCATAGAAGGCAATTAGGTTAGTCAGGCATGACTTGCCCTTGGTGAATCCATGCTGACTGTTCCTGATCACTTTCCTCTCCTCTAAGTGCTTCAAAATTGATTCCTTGAGGACCTGCTCCATGATTTTTCCAGGGACTAAGGTGAGGCTGGCTGGCCTGTAGTTCCCCGGATCCTCCTTCTTCCCTTTTTTAAAGATGGGCACTACATTAGCCTTTTTCCAGTCATCCGGGACCTCCCCCGATCTCCATGAGTTTTCAAAGTTAATGGCCAATGGCTTTGCAATCACATCCGCCAACTCCTTTAGCACCCTCGGATGCAGTGCATCCGGCCCCATGGATTTGTGCTCGTCCAGCTTTTCTAAATAGTCCCGAACCACTTTTTTCTCCACAGAGGGCTGGTCACCTCCTCCCCATACTGTGCTGCCCAGTGCAGTAGTCTGGGAGCTGACCTTGTTCGTGAAGACAGAGGCAAAAAAGCATTGAGTACATTAGCTTTTTCCACATTCTCTGTCACTAGGTTGCCTCCCCCATTCAGTAAGGAGCCCACACTGAATCTATTTCCCCATGTTAAACTGTCTGAAATGGGCCATCTTGATTATCACTATAAAAGTTTTTTTTCTCCTGCTGATAATTGCTCATCTTAATTAATTAACCTCTTAGAGTTGGCAGGGCAACTCCTACCTTTTCATGTTCTCTGTATGTGTATATATATCTCCTTACTATATGTTCCATTCTATGCATCCGATGAAGTGGGCTGTAGCCCACGAAAGCTTATGCTCAAATAAATTTGTTAGTCTCTAAGGTGCCACAAGTACTCCTGGTTTTTTTGCGGATACAGACTAACACAGCTGCTACTCTGAAACCTATAATTAATCCCAATCAACATAGGTTTAGATCCTAGCAAACTAACTGCATGTATTTTTGGATGAGATTAGACGTTTGGCTGATTAAGATAATAACGCTGATGTAATATACGTAGATTTCTTTAAGGCATTTGACTTGGTACAGAACAATCGTTTGATTAAACAACCAGAAAAATTCAAAATTAACATTGCACACATGAAATCAATTAAAATGTGGCTGATAGGTTTCAAAATGTAACTGTAAGTGAGAAACCATGGTTGAGTAGGTGTGTTTCTAGTGGGATCTCACAAGGATTGGTTCTTGACCCTGTGCTATTTATCAGTGAGCTGGAAGAGAACATAAAGTCATCATTGATAAAGTTTGCAGATGACACAAAGATTGGGGGAGCAGCAAATAACAAAGTGTATCGGTAGGTTCAGGCTCCAGCACTGGGAGTCTGGGAAGTTTTCCCAGCGGGGTTATTTCCTGTTCCACAAACAGGGGAAGTCCCACTCCCAACCCCCATGAGTCTGTTCCTCGAAAACAAGCCCCAGATTCAACTAGTTCCAGCAGGATGGTCACATCCTGTCCCCTCCCTTTCTCTACCTTGTCTATTTCCTGCCCCCCTCCTCCCACCTCCAGCAGCTCCTATCCTCTTGTGCATTTACTGCCCCTCTCCCTCCCACCAGAACCCACCACCAGCTTCCAGACAATCCCTTACCTGAGCCGGCTCCACTGACGTCATTTCCTTTCCCCTGGGAGGATGAGACGATCCGTAGCAAAATGTGGATGTTATTCTGCAGTCTGTCAGGGCGAGAAGGGCAGTTGGAGCGATTTCAGAAGGGGTTTTGTCCATTTCACATTCTCCATTCATCCCAGGCGTTCTCCCTTCAAATAGACATTCCACGTTCCATTGCACTGAGAAACACTTAGGGTATGTCTACACCAGACAGATACAGCTTTGGATTTCCTACTTTTGAGAGGTTTGAGTGTTGCTGAACTCGACATGCTGGAAGGGCTCAGGACAGCACTGGGCAACTTGAAGAGTGGAAAGGAAGGGGGATGGAGCTGGGAGGTTCCCTGGCAGTGGGAGGGGGTAGCAGCAGGGGATGACTGGCAGTGGGGATGGGGGGAGCAGGGTTGGGTCATGGTGTGGGAGAGCAGCTGGGACTGGGTAACCTGGAGCTGGGCAGTCTCCATGTGGGAGATTTGCTTCTCCCTTCCCCTCATGTGCCCCTTCGATGCCCTGTTTCCAGTAGAGAATGGCCAACCTGGGGAATGGCTCAGGACAACAATTCCCTACCAAACAAGGACAAAGCACTGCAGATACAAGAGGTAGGAAACACACCAAATCTGAGATTTTAAATTGACATTGGAGAATTAAGAGAGAAAATGGGGCAAAAGCTGAATGGAGAAACTGTCAATAATTTGAGAGAAAAGAAGGAGAAATCGACATAGATTTTATATCCATATTTGATAATTATAGAGAAATGCAACAGAATTGGAGAGGATTTTATAAATCTTTCAGAGGGAAGTGGCAAAATCTCCCCCCACCCCCACCCCTGCCAATTTCCTGACTGCTCCCAACTCACACTGTCTCTCCCTCCATCTCTGTCCTTCCCCCACCCTTCCCTGCCTGGCACCTCCACACTCCAGACACACAAAGGAGAACACCACGGAGCCGGTCTCTTCCCCTCCTCAATCCCCAGTTTTGCCACTGGGCAGAACCTGGCAGGAGATCAGTGGCTTCAGTGCTGTTATGGGAGCTAATTTAGCTACAACTAATCAGGAAAGAGATCTTGAAGTCATCGTGGATAGTTCTCTGAAGATGTCCACGCAGTGTGCAGCGGCAGTCAAAAAAGCAAACAGGATGTTAGGAATCATTCAAAAAGGATTGAGAGTAAGACGGAGAATATCTTATTGCCCTTATATAAATCCATGGTATGCCCACATCTTGAATACTGCATACAGATGTGGTCTCCTCATCTCAAAAAAGATATACTGGCATGAGAAAAGGTTCAGAGAAGGGCAACTAAAATGATTAGGGGTTTGGAATGGGTCCCATATGAGGAGAGATTAAAGAGACTAGGACTTTTCATCTTGGAAAAGAGGAGACTAAGGGGGGATATGATAAGGTATATAAAATCATGAGTGGTATGGCGAAAGTAAATAAGGAAAAGTTATTTACTTGTTCCCATAATATAAGAACTAGGGGTCACCAAATGAAATTAATGGGCAGCAGGTTTAAAACAAATAAAAGGAAGTTCTTCACACAGCGCACAGTCAACATGTGGAACTCCTTGCCTGAGGAGGTTGTGAAGGCTAGGACTATAACAGGGTTTAAAAGAGAACTAGATAAATTCATGGAGGTTAAGTCCATTAATGGCTATTAGCCAGGATGGGTAAGGAATGGTGTCCCTAGCCTCTGTTTGTCAGAGGATGGAGATGGATGGCAGGAGAGAGATCACTTGATCATTACCTGTTAGGTTCACTCACTCTGGGACACCTGGCATTGGTCACTGTCGGTAGACAGGATACTGGGCAGGATGGACCTTTGGTCTGACCCAGTATGGCCATTCTTATGTTCTCTGATCCCGCCCACAGTTGCATTAACAACAAGTAGCAGATTCCCAGGGGCTGTGAGATCCAAGGCTCCTGGTGACATTTGTGCAGTTACTTTTCTGACCATCCCCAGGGTCTCTCTCAGTCTCCTGGAGTCTCCGGCTCAGCAGTTGGGGTTGGCAGAGCCTGGGGCTGCCTTAGGGGGCTAGTTCCTGCCACTGAAGTACCTGCCTGGACTGGGAACGGAGGAGGCTTTAATGAAGGTCTCTCCACAGCACAGACCCTGCTGAGGAGCAGCAGTGGCTCAGCCTGGGCTCCCAGATCACAGGGGAGGCAACACCATCACACCCAAGAAACTCAACCCTGATACCTTGAGTAAAGAGAGACAGAGAGAGCAGCCTCCCCCCCACCTCCCCCTTAGCAACAGCCAGAGCCCTCTGGTGACAGCAGCTAAGGACACAACTTCCCGGATCTTACAAACTCCCATGTTAATCCAGAGTCACTCCTTTTCCTTCCTTGCAGTGACTCTGACATTGGGGAGGGGAAGATGCCAAAATCTAGTTAAACACATCCTGGGAGGGGAGGTTCCACGCCTTCCCCCCTCCCCTGCTCCCTACATCTGGGGCAAGGACTCAGGGCAACTATCTTCCCTCCAAACCCTGAACATCCTACAGTTCTGAAAGGGATGTGAAACAAAATTTGTGGTGATTTTATATTAGTATTTGATCAATGGAGAGAAAGTTATCACCGCCCCCGACCGGCCATTCACACAGCCCTGGGCAATGCTGCTTTAACAGGAGACGGGAGGGGATGGAGGAGCCAATTCAATAAACTTCCATGCCCTGTCATTGGCTAATAATGGTCACCCTGGACCCACCCCAGAGATGGCTGGTCTCAGCACTGCAGGAAGAGACCCCCCATGGTGACCGTTCACCACGGGCTCTGGGGACCCTTCTGGTGAAAACAGCTATTGAAATGTGAGGAGTTAGTACAGGAGGATGGAGTGTCTCAGCCGCTCTGGGCGCTGCCCAGGGGAACAGGGACGCATCCACAAACAGAGCAGCCCCGAGGGGAGTAAACCCTGTGTCTCGCACCATCAGGGGAAAGGAAATTCAGTCAGGGTCCAGCCACCTCTCCTGTTAGCAGCTGGGAGACACCGTTTTCCAGATAGTATGAGGCCCTGCCTGGGATGTGTATCTGAAATGGGGCAAGTCACTCTGATCAGCAACCAAGTGGATTTTAAAGGAGACAAAGGGGGAAACAAATGATTCTCAAATGAAAGGGGGACAGTTGATCACTGGGGAATTTAATTCCTCTGCAACCTCCACTATGGAGAATGGCAACAGGGCAACAGGTTCCCTTGAACAAAGGAGAAGGGGCTGCACATGAAAAACAAGGGGAACCCCTACAAGCTGGAAAGGATTTTTTAAAATTAATAATTCATAATTATCTGGAAATGGCAAATTCTGAAATGTGATATCAGTGTTCAGTAATTAAAAAGAAAGGGGAGCAAATATGAGAAATTTGTCACATAACAGAGGAAGCAGAAAAGTTTGAGGGATTTTATATCAATAGTTGATTCAAGGTAAAGAGGTAAAATCTGAGTGGATTTCATATCAATATTTGATAATTAGGAAGAGAAAGGGGCAATCAATATTCAAGGATTTAAGAAAAGGACAACATCTGAGGAGATTTTATGATAATATCAGATGATCAGATGGGGAAAATCTCAGGGGATAATAAATCATAGCTAACGAGAGAGAAAATGGGGCAAAATGTTTGGGAATTTTCTGTCAACATTTTAGAACTGAGGAGAAAATGGGGCAAAAACTAAACATTTCCTAATATAAGTGAAAAACACCAACATCTGGGGGGACTTTATGTCGATATTGAAGAATTGGAGGGAAAAGTGGGAATGTTTAAGGGGATTTGTGATGGGATGCAGCTGGCCTTTGCAGCTCCCTACAGGAGACCCCATGATCTTACTACACCCCACCCCAGGAAGCAGCGAAGGTGGGTCCTCTGGGCCTGCCTAGTGCCTACACTGGCCTCACAGAAGCAGCCACCCAGAGCCCAGCAGGCTCAGATAAAAGGAGCTGCAGGGGCACAGCAGGTCAGTCAGTCTGTGGCTGGGACCAGAAGAGTAAAGCAAGGGGGCTCCTCCCTGGCCTAGTGAGAAAGAACCACCTGAGGATGGTGGCCCTGCAATAAGGCTGCAGATAGAAGGGCCCCGTAGGAAGAATCTCAGGGAAATAGTAGTGATGGATTGGAGTGAGCAGTACATGGCTGCTGTGTATAGGGTCCTTGGGTTGGAACCTGGGATAATGGCCAGGCCTGGGTTCCCCTGGCAACAGGTAAAATGGTGTAAGCTACCAAAAGGGGACAGGCCTCCTTTGGGAGCCTAAACAAAGGGCTGAATTTGAAGGGCTCAGAGCTGGGGCTGAAGGCGCTAGTGAGGAGAAGTAGACCGCTTCTTTGCTGGACTCTAATACCCCGGCAGGGGTTCATTGAGACTTTGGGACTCGGCCAGAGGCCCGACGACGGAATTCCCACCAAGCTGGCTGGCGGCCTGCAGAGGACACCAGGAGGACAGAAGGTGTGGGATGCTGCACCCTGCTGCTCCGAGATCCTCCAGAGGTGAGTGCCCCATTAGGGGATTATACAGCAATGTACAACAAACAGCACAAAGTGATGGGTCCCCCTTGCCTGACATTCACAGGGGCAGCAGGGAGCCCTGGATAATGCTACTTTAACAGGAGCAGGGAGGGTGGAGGAGCCAGAAGGCCATGGGGGATGGGCAGTGGGGTCTGGCAATGGGATTGGCAGCTAGTGGCTGAAGGGGCCTGGGGTGGGGGAAAAAGGGAAGCAGCTGGGCTGGGCAGCCTCCCTTCCCCACCCTGCTGCTGGCTCCCACCCCAGAAGCAGCTGTGCCTCAGGGCTTTCCCAAACTGCACCCATCACCCCATTCCTACTTGGCAAATGACTCACGGCAACAATTTCCCCCCTAAACAAGGACAAATTGCTGCAGATAAAATGGGTGGGAAACCCCCCAAATCTGAGGAGATTGTAAATTCTGCACTGGGGAGAGAATGGGGCAAAAGCTGTGGCAGAGAACAGAGGAACTCAATCATGGGAGAGAGAAGAAGGGAAAGTGACAGGGGTTTTACATCCCTATTTGCTAATTCTGGAGCAATGGGGCAGAGCCAGGGAGGATTTTATCAGTCTGGGAGAAGGAAGAGGTAAAATCAGAGGGGATTTCATCCCCCCCCCCGTATGGGCACTTGCTCTTCTCCTCTCCCTGTAATGTCCTGGCTGCACAGAGATGGGTAAATCTATCACACGTCACATGGTCTCTCTGCTTCCCCACCCTCCTTTTCCCTTCGTCCCCGCCATATTGTCACCCCTCCCCCACCTGACAATTCTCCCCCCCCTCCGCCCCGCCCCGCCCCGCCCCGTCTTTTCCCAACACAGCCCCCGGCCGGCGCAGTCCCAGCGCGGGAGCAGATCCCGGGCTCCTGGGGACGTGGTGCAGAGTCACTTTCCTGTCCGGCCCAGCCCTGGCCCCGGCCCCTCAGTTACCTGGGTCTCCGGCCCGGAGCTGGTGCGGGCAGAGCCGGGCCCGGGGGCTAGTCCCAGCCCCGCAGAGGAAGCCCCCTCTGGCCGGGCGCAGAAGCAGCTGCACCGAAGGTCTCCCGGTGGCACAGCCCCGTGGGAGCAGCAGCTGCTCAGCCCTGGCTCCCAGCGGAGGGAGGCAGCAGCGCCCTGCAATGTCCCAGCCCCCGGCCCGGGGCTGCCCGGGACCTGCTCGGCCCTTTGTTCTCCCCAGCGCTGCCCGCCCGCCCGCTCCCTCCTCCCAGCACCGCCCGCTCCGCTGCTCCAGCCCCTTCCTGTGTCCCGCAGCACCAGCCCCCACCCCGCGGCTGCCTGCAGCGCTCCCCGCACCGGGGCTCTCTCTGCCCGGGACCAGCGCAGCCCGGGCTCCGCCCGCGTCAGCTCCCGAGCCGGGCACGGCAGGGGGAGACCTCGGGGCGAGGGCTGGGGCCGGGCAGGAAAGTGCTTCTGCACACCCGGCCCCCTCGTCCCAGCTCCGCTCCCCGGCCGGGGCCTGCCGGTCCTAGCGCTGCTGCAGGCGCCCGGCACGCTGGGCTGGGCTGGGCTGGGCTGGCTCCTCCAGCTGCTCGGTCACATCTGCTGAGGCCCCTGCCCGGGGCTGGGCACGTGTCTTGCTGGCCTGGGGCCCCAGGGGGCAAACCCGGAGGGGGGGTGGGCAGAGTCTGTGCAGGGGCAAACTGGATGCCCGGGAGGGTCAAACAGCTGGGGGCAGGGGCAGGATAGGGGCCGGGGGGAAATCAGGGGCAGGGGGTAGGAGCCAGGGTAAGAATGGGGCACAGGCACTGCCTGAGAGTGGGAGAGGGGAAAGCCCTGGGGGGGGGGCAAGAGAGGATGAAAGTGACCCCAAATAGGGTGAACCATCTGCACTGGCTGACCACATGGGTGGGTAGATGGTTATGTCTGGCCTGTAGTGTAGGAAACTACTCCCTGTAGGAATTTGCTACCTGTAGCAGTTACTGAGATATAATGACAGGTTTCAGAGTAGCAGCCGTGTTAGTCTGTATCCGCAAAAAGAACAGGAGTACTTGTGGCACCTTAGGCCTGGTCTACACTAACCCCCCAAGTCGAAGTAAGGTACGCAACTTCAGCTACGTGAATAACGTAGCTGAAGTCAACATACCTTACTTCGAACTTACCGCGGTTCAGACGCGGTCCACACGCGGCAGGCAGGCTCCCCGGTCGACTCCGCGGTACTCCTCTCGTTGAGCTGGAGTACCGCAGTCGACGGCGAGCACTTCCTGGTTCGATTTATCGCGTCCAGACCAGACGCGATAAATCGAACCCGGAAGTTCGATTTCCAGCCGCCGAACTAGCGGCTAAGTATAGACCAGCCCTTAGAGAATAACAAATTTATTTGAGCATAAGCTTTCGTGGGCTACAGCCCACTTCTTCGGATGCATAGAATGGAACATATATTGAGGATAGATATATAGATATACACACACACATACAGAGAGCATGAAAAGGTGGGAGTTGTCTTACCAACTCTGAGAGGCCAATTAAGTAAGAGAATTTTTTTGAAGTGATAATCAAGATAGCCCAGTACAGACAGTTTGATAAGAAGTGTGAGAATACTTACATGGGGGGAGAGATTCAATGTTTGTAAAGGCTCAGCCATTCCCAGTCTCTATTCAAGCCTAAGTTGATTGTATCTAGTTTGCATATCAATTTGAGTTCAGCAGTTTCTCGTTGGAGTCTATTTTTGAAGCTTTTCTGTTGCAAAATTGCCACCCTCAGGTCTGTTATTGAGTGACCAGACAGGTTAAAGTGTTCTCCTACTGGTTTTTGAATGTTGTGATTCCTGATGTCAGATTTGTGTCCATTTATTCTTTTGTGTAGAGACTGTCCGGTTTGGCCAATGTACATGGCAGAGGGGCATTGCTGGCACATGATGGCATATATCACATTGGTAGATGTGCAGGTGAATGAGCCCCTGATGGCATGGCTGATGTGATTAGGTCCTATGATGATGTCACTTGAATAGATATGTGGACAGAGTTGGCATCGGGCTTTGTTGCAAGGATAGGTTCCTGGGTCAGTGTTTTTTCAGTGATGTGTGGTTGCTGATGAGTATTTGCTTCAGGTTGGGGGGTTGTCTGTAAGCGAGGACAGGTCTGTCTCCCAAGATCTGTGAGAGTGAGGGATCATCTTTCAGGATAGGTTGTAGATCTTTGATGATGCGCTGGAGAGGTTTTAGTTGGGGGCTGAAGGTGACAGCTAGTGGTGTTCTGTTATTTTCTTTGTTGGGCCTGTCTTGTAGGAGGTGACTTCTGGGTACTCATCTGGCTCTGTCAATCTGTTTTTTCACTTCAGCAGGTGGGTATTGTAGTTTTAAGAATGCTTGATAGAGATCTTGTAGGTGCTTGTCTCTGTCTGAGGGATTGGAGCAAATGCGGTTGTATCTTAGAGCTTGGCTGTAGACAATGGATCGTGTGATGTGTCCTGGATGGAAGCTGGAGGCATGTAGGTAAGTATAGCGGACAGTAGGTTTCTGATATAGGGTGGTATTTATGTGACCATCGCTTATTAGCACAGTAGTGTCCAGGAAATGGACCACTTGTGTGGATTGATCTAGGCTGAGGTTGATGGTGGGATGGAAATTATTAAAATCATGGTGGAATTCCTCAAAGGCTTCTTTTCCATGGGTCCAGGTGATGATGATGTCATCAGTGTAGCGCATGTAGAGTAGGGGCATTAGGGGACTAGAGCTAAGGAAGCGTTGTTCTAAGTCATGGATGTAATGGATTGTAGAAAACTGCTGTTGTAAAAAACTGCTATCTGATGTAACAAATGCCTACAGATAGCAGTTAGTCCCCTGCACTCATGGCAGGACTAAGTATTATCTAGATCATCCCTGACACGTGTTTGTCCAACCTGCTCTTAAAAATCCCCAATGATGGAGATTCCACAACCTCCCTAGGCAATTTATTCCAGTGCTTAACCACCGACAGTTAGCAAGTTTTTCCTAATGTCCAACCTAAACTGCCCTTGCTGCAATGCTTCTTGTCCTATCCTCAGAAGTTAAGAAGAACAATTTTTTCCCTCCTTATAACAACCTTTTATGTACTTGAAAACTGTTATCATGTTTCAATCTTCCCTCACAGGTCATGTTTTCTAGACCTTTCATCATTTTTGTTGCTCTTCTCTGGACCTTCTCCAATTTGTCCACATCTTTCCTGAAATGTGGCGCCCAGAACTGGACACAATACTCCACTTTAGGCTTAAGCAGAGCAGAAGAATTACTTCTCGTGTCTTACTTAAAACACTCCTGCTAGTATATTCCAGTATTATGCTCAATTTTTTGCAACACTGTTGACTCATGTTAGGTTGTGGTCCACTATGACACCCAGATCCCTTTCCACAGTACTCCTTCCTAGGCAGTCATTTCCCATTTTGATTGTTCCTTCCTAAGAGGAGTACTTTGCATTTGTCCTTATTGAATTTCATCCTGTTTACTTCAGATCATTTCTCCAGTTTGTCCAGATCATTTTGAATTTTAATCCTATCCTCCAAAGCACTTGCAACCCCTCCCAGCTTGGTATCGTCCGCAAACTTTATAAGTGTACTCTCTATGCCATTATCTAAATCATTGATGAAGATATTGAACAGAACCAGACCCAGAACTGATCCCTGCAGGACCCCACTTGTTATGCCCTTCCAGCATGACTGATAACTACTCTCTGGGGATGATTTTCCAACCACTTTTGCACCCACCTTATTGTAGCTCCATCCAGGTTGCATTTCCCTAGTTTGTTTATGAGAAGGTCATGCAAGACAGTATCAAAAGTTTTACTAAAGTCAAGATATACCACATCTACCACTTCCCCTCTATCCACAAGGCTTGCTATCCTGTCAAAGAAAGCTATCAGGTTGGTTTGACACGATTTGTTCTTGACAAATCCATGCTGACTGTTACTTATCACCTTATTATTGTCTAGGTGTTTGCAAATTGATTGCTTAATTATTTGCTCCATTGTCTTTCCGAGTCACAAGTTAAGCTGACTGGTCTGTAATTCCCTGGGTTGTCCTTATTTCCCTTTTTATAGAGTGGCACTATAATTGCCCTTTTCCAGTCTTCTGGAATCTCTCCCGTCTTCCATGACTTTTTCAAAGATAATCGCTAATGGTTTAGATATCTCCTCAGTCAGCTCCTTGAGTATTCTAGGATGCATTTCATCAGGCCCTGGTGACTTGAAGACATCTAATTTGTCTAAGTAATTTTTAACTTGTTCTTTTCCTATTTTTGCCTCTGATCCTCCCTCATTTTCACTGGCATTCACTATGTTAGACGTCCAATCACCACCAATCTTCTTGGTGAAAACTGAAACAAGTCATTAAGCACCTCTGCCATTTCTACATTTTCTATTATTGTTTTTCCCCCCTCATTGAATAACGTGCCTACCCTGTCCTTGGTCTTTCTCTTGCTTCTAATGTATTTGTAGAATGTTTTCTTGTTATCCTTTATGTCTCTAGCTAGTTTGATCTCGTTTTGTGCCTTGGCCTACCTAATTTTATCCCTACATACTTGTGTTATTTGTTTATATTCATTCTTTGTAATTTGACCTAGTTCCCACTTTTTGTAGGACTCTTCCTTGATTTTTAGATAATTGAAGATCTCCTGATAAAGCCAGGGTGGTCTCTTGCCATACTTCCTATCTTTCCTACACGATGGGCTAGTTTGCTCTTGCGCCCTTAATAATGTCTCTTTGAAAAACTGCCAATTGTCTTCAATTGTTTTTCCCCTTACAATTACTTCCCATGGGATCTTACCTACCAACTCCCTGAGTTTGCTAAAGTCTGCCTTCTTGAAATCCACTGTCTTTATTTTGCTGTTCTCCCTCCTACCATTCCTTAGAATCATGAACTCTATCATTTCATGATCAGTTGAACCCAAACTGCCTTCCACTTTCAAATTCTCAACCAGTTCTCCCTATTTGTCAAAATAGAGAACAGCCTCTCCCCTAGTAGCTTTCCCCACCTTCTGAAATAAAAATGGTCTCCAATACATTCCAGTAACTTCTTGGATAATCCCCAAGGGGCGATAGCTACGACGTAGTGTTGTCTTCACAAGGGGCTAGGGATTTGTCACACCTCTGAGCGACGTAGTTAGATTGATAAATGACTTTGGTGTACACCAGATGTTGGTTTTCTCTTGTGTTTTATGCATTTACATCACTTCTCTACCTTCTCCTACTCTGAAAGATCTCAAATTGGATCGAGTCCAGTGGAGGGCAATGAAAATGATCAGGGGGCTGGGGCACATAACTTACGAGGAGAGGCTGAGGGAACTGGGCTTCTTTAGTCTGCAGAAGAGAAGAGGGATGGGCATTTGATAGCAGCCTTCAACTACCTGAAAGGTGAGGGCGGGGATTCCAAAGAGGATGGAGCTCCCCTGTTCTCAGGGGCTGCAGATGACAGAACAAGGAGCTATGGTCTCTAGTTCAAGTGGGGCAGGGCTAGGTTGGAGACGAATAAAAACAATTTTAGTGGG